AATATATATATATATATATATATATATATATATATATATATATATATATATATATATATATATGGAGGCTGCATGAGGGGGGTGGCGGGTGTAACCCGTGTTCATCAAACTTTTGCCCATTTTAACCATATCGGCCCCTCCCCACTAGAAATATTTTCGAAACTAACCCAAAATTTACCATTTAAACCCTCAACATTAAAATCCATTACAATTTAGGTACAAAATTTACCAATTACACCCCTGCTTCCATAATTCCTCTCAATTTCGATCCCTAATTTACCAAACAGCCCCTTAGCCTCCAAAATATCTTCAAATGAAGTCCCAGAAATTACCATTTAGTCCCTGCCTTCAATTATACTTACAAATTAAGTCCGCATTTTACACTTTAATCCCCGCCTTCTAAAATTATGACAGTGAACTCCTCGAGACCAACATCTTGCGATATAATTATAAATTTTAGGGCTACTATTCATTCATTAATTTGTTTATTTATTTATTAAGTAAATGGGGTGTTACAGTTTAAACAATCTTAGACTAAAAGATTCAATCCTACAACGGTTGGACTTAGACAAGAGTTGCGCAGTAGGACCAAATCTTTTATCCTAAGATCATTTAAACCCTGTAGCATGTGACTTAGCGTATTCACATAATAGCTAGTTCAGACGCGAAAGAGTCAAACAACAATCTGTCAGAGATTCTATAAGAGATAAAACATCATATATCATGAAATTTTATCATATAATTCAAGAAGGTCCCTATCCCAATACTAGCATGTTGTTCTAACATATCAAAGCATAATCTCAAATAACTTCGTGGTAATTTGGGGTCTACTTACTGGCTCCGACTGATCGTTCACATCACATCCTCCTTGATTATTTTGAAAACCATTTGAAAATTGTTTGAAAAATCTTTTTCCTTAGTTTGAGACTGGATTCACACGAGTTTTCCTCCAATTCACTGAAACCAAGGCTCTGATACCAACCTGTAACATCCATAAAATTCATGAAAAATTTAAACTTTTAAGACCAGCCCATAAATCATCATTGTTTACAAAATAGTTTTCAAAACATGTTCAATATTAGAGTGTTTCCCAAAATCATAAAACAAAACACGATGAGGTGCACGATCATGCCTTCGCCTTCCCGCGATCCTCTACGGTACCTGAAACATAACCCAAAACTGTAAGCCAAAGCTTAGCGAGTTCCCCCAAATTACCAACACATCACAATGTCATAATAATAACAACAAACAACATGCATACAGAGCCATCAGTCTGAATGGAGCTCCCTACCGGCCTGCAGTCTACCTGGTACACTCACAGAACCTTCAGCATGAACGGTACGCCACATTCGACCTTCAGCCTATCTGGAGCGTTCTTCGGGCCTTCGGCCAGACTGGTACGCCATACTGGCCTTTAGTCTAGCCGGGACGCCCTGGGTCTATTGGCCTTCAGCACAAAGCAGGGCCGCCTGAACCCCAACCACACATATACCGTGTCGACACACACAAACACACACACACACACATATATATATATATATATATATATATATATGTAACAGACAAGCATGAAAATAACCAGTCAGCAAACAACAGACAGATCTTACAGATCACTAAGCATAACATCATCCTATCTACCAGGATTTAGATCTAACAGATCACTATAGCACACCATCATACGATAAACCAAAATAACAATCTGAAGGGCCGACATTGGTGCCTTCGACCCGTAAGTACAGTGAGGAAAACTCACCTCGCAGACTGAACAGAACTGATGAGGTCCAACTCTGAAATTTCAGTTCTCTAACCGATACATGTTTCCACCAAGTCACCAATTCCATCAAGATCCCAAAATACCCTCAAGGTCCAACTTGGTCAAAGTCAACGGTCAATGTCAACAGTCCATGTTGACCCAACACGTCGTGTTCCCCTTGGCCACGCCATGTTCCGCGAGCATCCAAATAGTCGGGAAAACCTCATCCAACATGTCGTGTTGACTTGCAAACACACTGTGTTCGCCTGAGTTTCAACAACCTAATACATTCAGCTGCCTTTTCAACTTCAAGAGCTCCAAAGTTCAGATCTAGACCAAAATGTGATTAGGAAGGGTAAAGTTTCCAATTATCCATTGGGACTACCAAAAAAGGTCCAAAAACCCAAATCACAAGCTTGATAATGCAAGGGCTTAACAAAAATACTATTAATCCTTAAGATCTAAAGTCCATCCTTTCCAGAAGTGATTCTAACACCTAAACCATTCCAAAGGTTGGTGCTTTTTATACATACATGTATAATGCATGTCTTGAAACCATATTAGGTCAAAATGAGGATTTATGACCTAATCTCATGCATGGAATCAAAACTTGGTTATATACCAGATCCAAGACATTACTAGGTCACCTTGACCTAGAGATTCATAAAGTTGAAAACTTTATGAGATTCATCCATTGCAACATACAAGAACAAGGAGCAAAAGGAAAAAAAACTCAAGATCTAACAACTTTAAATGATAAAAATTAGGTCTTGGACACTTACAAAGGTCCAGGAGAGTGCCAAACCGAAGAATGAGGCTTGCTTGCTAGATCTTTGCTTCCTTCTTCCACCTTCTTCCTTCTTTTAGCCTCAAAACACCAAACTAGCTTTACAAATAGGAGAGAAAATGATTAGGGTTTCTTTCAGGGATTGAGGGGATAATGGGGGCTGAGGGTGAACAAACCCTAGCCTTCACTTTCCTTTAAATAGGGAGAAAAACCTGGAAGATTAGGGTTTCATTCCAGCCGTCAACACGCCGTGTTGCTCAAAATGAAACCCACGCCTTCTCATATCTAGACATGTCGTATTGGTGCCTCCAACACGCTGTGTCCAAACCTTAGTTATACCCAAGGGTGCTACCACTTGACCAATTGACATGAAATAAAATTATAGGGATGACTTTAGAAGTACCTGAACATCAGGATGTTACATACCATTTCGAGAAACATTGGTTGTAAAAACCAATTTCTTAGATGTATATCTTGAATTTTACCAAAGGTTTTGATGTAGCCGAAACAAACTCTGTTTTTGTCTTGAATCTTTCAAAGAACGCCACCATATCTATTACCATTTCAAAGTCAAAATTTTTCGGTACTCTACCGAGATCCCTTTTCATATGATTTATCTGTCAAAGATACATAAAATTCAAAATAGTAGTCTAAAAAGTAGCTGAAGCTGCATTAATCGAGGATACACGACAGAAGGAATTGTTCTATTTCCAAACTTTACCTTCAACAAGCGTAGATTTTTTTCTTTTTTTTCCCCATCACGAATCATGTGTATTTATCGTAAGGCTGAGATTAATAAAAAAAAAGTCAAATCGCACCATCTCTGTAATAGGTAAATGCCTCTTTTTCTCCTGAAGTTGTCGGAATTATACGTAATAAGATATTGGCTACAACTGAAAAGGTTTTATCAATAAAATTTCCATTTATCCTCGATCTAGGCATAGGTAGCAATCCATTCTATCATTGTTCTCATTACTTCTCGCGGGAAAATAATCCCACATGGAAAAGAATTTTACAGTACGAAATAACATAAAAATAGATTGATTCTCATTAAAAAAACAAAAAAAAGATATAATTCTTCTATTCAAAAATTCAATATTCAAATTGCTATTTTTTACATTACAGGAATTGATAAAAACTAAGAAAGAAATATGGTAATCGGATTCGATTCCATCTTACTGGAATAGTCTACCAACGAAAGAAACTATTCTTATTTGATTGAAGTTATAGCTTAGAATAACCTCAGTTGATTTAATTATGATACAAAGAAGAAAAAGGATCGAATAATCATTGTATGATGAAAATATAATAACCGCCTATTTTTTTGTGTTGTGTACTTAGGGGTATACACTATACAATCAACTATAAAATTTGTTAGTGATATCCTAACTTTGAAGGATTGTAATTCACTAAATATAAAACCAAAAAGGATAAAATTTTATAGTCTAAAATCATGTACAAACTCTAAAGTACAGGTTGGAAAAAACCGCATGCCAATCCGATTTAAAACGAATGAGATATGCTTGTTTAAAGATTTTCAAAGAATACAAAAGTCTAAAAGTATAGCTGAAAAGCTAAAATATTTCAGCTTTGATATCCCAACTTTGAAGGATTGTAATTTATTAAACACAACACGAAAAACAACAAATTTATCGTCTAAAATCATGTACAAACTCTAAATTACAAGTTGGAAAAAACTGCATGTCAATCTAACTTAAAACAAATGAGATATGTTTGTATTGTTTGTTTAAAGATTTTCACTTACAAAAGTTTAAAATTATAGCTGAAAAGCTGAAATATTTTAGTTTTGATATACTAGCTTTAAAAGATTGTAATTCATTGAATATAACACCAAAAAAGATAAAATTATAGTCTAAAATCATGTAGAAACTCTAAATTACACGTTGGAAAAAACCGCATGTCAATCCGACATAGATTGAATGAGATATATTTGTTTAAAGATTTTTTTTAAATAATCCGGTCCAAAACCGGTTTTCACCTCGAACCGCCTGTACCGAACTGGTAAAAAAACCGGACCGGTTTTGATCAATTCCTAGAATTAAGAATCGGCCCGGTGGTCCAAAAAAAGGTCCATGTTCATGTCCGATCTACGAGTCTAAATGTTCACCCTAGGTTATAAAGACTAAATGTTTAAAGTTTAAACAAATTAACACGGGACATGACCAAATATATACAAAATATATATTAACCTTTCTTTCATGTTTTATTTATTTATTTTTTTGGGTGTGTAAATTTGTGTTTCACTGGAATAATATCCCCTACAATGACCGATATTCAAACCGTCTAAGGATTTGTTTGTTTTTTTTTTTTTTTTGGCACAGCACACGGACAACACTTGATTCTTAGCACAGCACACGCACAATTCGCAGTTGTTTAGCTGTTTGTTTTTGTCTTTCTTACTTAAAAACTGCTGTTTGGCACGACCCTAGACCCTTTCAAACCTTCCCACTTTACTTTTACCTTATTACACTTTGCCTTGTTACAGCACAGCAGTCTATCTCTTCGAAAAAACAAACACCGCCTAAACCTCGAGCGATCGCTTCAACAGCGCTAAATTAGTTACCGCACTTTCGAAGCAAATCCTCAAAGTCTCAAGCACGGAACAGGTAATCTACGTGTTTTCTCTGAATTTGTACGCAATTCCCGCCGTTAACCGGAAACCGTTTTGCATCCTCTCGAAATTCGCATCAATCGAGATTCAGTGTGAATGAGGAACTGAGGAAGAATGTCAGAATTCTATGCGGCGGCGACGCCGAGCGCCAGCGTCAGAAGACAGATGGAGTATCTGAAAGGAAATGCGGCGAAGATTGTAGAAAACCACATAAACCAAGCTTCGGCGTATATTCGGACAGAAGATTCCGACAATCCGTTGGTGTATAGCAAGACCTGCATAACTTTAGGAAGGTTTTGATTTTTAACCACTGAATTGGTGTCTTTCCCTTATCGAACACTCAATTTTTCTAATAGATATAAGATTACATATAGTTACATGTGCAATTTTATCCATACACTGTTTCCACATGTAGAAATGATTGGGTGTTCGTTGGCAACTATCTCCGATCAACTTATAGTCATGACTAATACTTGTTTAATATACTTCAATTTCTGCTATTGGTAATGTAGCACTATCGATTCAGCTATCGCGATGAATGCAGTTCCATCATCATTTCATCTTCCCCAGCTACTTTTGATTGTTAGAGAGGTTAGTTGTAAATGTCATTGTTTTGTTACCGAATTATTATTTACACATTACACTGATTGTTCCAAATCGTCAGCTCTAGTCTTTTACATATATTTTGTGTTAATCACCTTACTTCTATGTGATTGTAGGTTTATAGGCGTAAAACAGAATTGCAACAACCATCATTGATGTTGCTCATGCTACCTATCAAGGTATACATGTCCATCAAATAACAATTCAGATATTCATTTCATTTTCTGAATCTGGTCAATTCAATGTGGTTGCGATTCATTCTGTGACTTCTATCTCTATGTATGTGTCTGACTACATAATGTATATTACATATTTATATATAAACATTTCCAAACAGGCTGCTTGTAAAGTTGGCTGGTTTTCAGATGGAGATAAAGCTGATCTCCTTATGATCGTAGAGGAGGTTGGTTTAAGTTCTTTCTTGGCCAATTTGGGTTACTGATTACTATTAATTTTTTTATATTCATGAAGTAATAACCCTATATATATTTTAACTAATTTGGGTTACTGATTACTATTAATTTTTTTATATTCATGAAGTAATAACCCTATATATATTTTAACTATTGCTAGGTATGCAAGGGGTTCTCAGACACAGAGAAAATGAGTATTGAGCCAACCTATGCACATTCTTGTGTTTCAAACATAATCTTAAGGTAATGGTTTATCAAAACTAACTAAAAAGAGTACATCTGCATTTTAATTCAATAAATGACATCCTTCCCATTTTGTGTCTTCCACATCCAGATTCTATCCAACAATGAAGGTGGAAAATATACTTACTTCATTTGATGTGAAGGTAAATATATGATATATCCAGCTATCCATTTTCAGATTAAGATCGTCTATAGTTTCTTATTATGCCTTTATAATGTCAAGTTTAATTAATTCACAGGCTGGATATGGGACTTTTGTAGTTGATTTTCACATCTCTCAGGGTACATTGCCTCGCAACTGTCGAAATTTGGTAAGCAAATAATATGCACCTAAACATGTTTAGCTTAAAATCAATCTTCAAGGTAAATTATATCACTTGATGTTATATTTACTTCTTACAGTGGCTTTTAGTAGCTCGAATGGACAATATGGATACAGCTGCATGTATTGCCAGCCCATCAAATGTAGAGTAAGATTACAAATTTTGTGGTTTTTAATATTTTCTTAGAATGGTTTTCTGTTCATTGTATTTCTATCTTTCCTTTTCTAGCTTTCTCATCAATGGTAAGGGAGTACCTAAGAGGACCAAAAGCACCATGGTAAACAGACTTCAAATAGTGGAAAACCAATTTTCATATCTTTAAATCTATGTAATCGAAATATACCCCATGAATTTAAGCACCAAAATTGCTGATGTAATATGTGTATTAGGGTAAAGGACCACAACTCCCATCAAATGTGACGAAAATGATAAAGTATGGAGTAAATTTACTACAAGTTCTTGGGGACTTTGATGGTATGCTTACATTTTTGAAACATATATAGTTGGCTTTTGTTTTTCCTAAAACATGCTGGCTTTTTATACAAATTCAGGACAATATATTATTGCAGTAGCTTTTATGAATTTAAATCCATCTCCTGATCTTCCTCCATTGAAAGATTATGTCCACACAATGTCTACTGTAGTTGACTCTGGTAAGTCAATCTTTCAAACATAATGTACATATTACAACATATTTTTTTTTTTCAAAAATATGATTCAGTAAACATATTTCTTGTCTTCCCTATATCAGATTGCAATGTTATTGGGACTTCATCACTTATTTCACTTGACTGCCCCATTAGGTAAGTCGGATGCTCCACTTTCTTATTGCTTACTAGACATTATGCTTTTGTCTTTGTTAATTTAGTTGTTAGTCTTAAAGTTTCTCAATTATGTAGAAATTTAATATAAAGATGAGAAGGAACAAAGTTTTTGGAGTATAAAATTTGGAAAAGAAAAAACATTGGTAATCTGTCTGCAGTTTTCTAACACCATAGTTTTAAGTTTTTTATATTGTTATAAATATAAAATTTTCTATTTTTCAGTTTTATAATCTTTTAAGTTTAAATCTACAACATTTCTTTTTTGGTTCTATTAGGTTGACATGTATTGTAATACAAGATGATATAATATCATGTAAAATGGTATAAAATCATAAAAGGTTGGGTAAATTATAAAGCAGTTAAATTTGGGGAAATTATATATATGACAAATATCATAAGGTGACTATGTTCATAACAAAATAGGTAAATAACGCTAAAACAAATATACACATTCACTAAACATATTAATTTGGAATGTTAGATAAAGTAAAAACTAAAAATACTAATTTGGAATGTTAGATTAAGTTTATCTTGTACCATTACTTTAGTTTTAAGGCTATAGTTTTGGGGTTAGAATGTTAGATAAAGTTAAAAATAAACATATTATTTAGCAAATTCTCGACCTTTTCATTTTTTTTTAATGTGAATTGTGACCCTTGATCGAGTTTGACCGAGTTCCCACCTAGAGAAGTTTGATTCAAAGTTAGAATAGTCATCTAAGAATAATATGTAACATTTGGGCCCATATTGCTGTCTATCCTATCTGTAATGTATATCTACTATATTTACAATTTAATTTTAGCTCCAAATTAGGGATCCTAGTATATCTGTTCTATTTATAATGTATAGTTTCTGATTTAGTTGTTAAAATTGAGTGGCTTTTATGAATCAGACGATCTTAACTTTGATTTTCCTTATATGACAGTAAACTTCGTATAAGAACTCCTGTGAAAGGGCATCTCTGCAAGCATCCTCAGGTGAGGTTTTAATAGTGTCTCCTTGAAGATATATTTTCTTCTTCTTCTTCTTCAAACAACTGAGTTTCTAACAAACTAACTGTGGCTACTGTAGTGCTTCGATTACAAGTATTTTATGGAAGTGAACTCAAGGTGGCCTACTTGGAATTGCCCTATCTGTAATATCCCACTTTGCTATCTTGATGTACGCATCGATCAGACTTTTGTAAAGGCAAGCAATACACACACACACACACTAATGCACATATGAGAAAGACCTTCACTTGATAATAAAAAACCTAACTACATTTTTCTTTTAGAGATAAATGCAATAAATAGCAATATAGTTTTTAATAGCATCCTACTTTCATTTCTTCCTATTACAGCATTGTACTTTGAAAATCTACCCAATTATTTATAGCAGTGTCATCAACACACAAATCAGTTTTCACTGCTATAATTAATTTTGGTAGATATTTCAAAGTAGAATGTTCTAACTTCTAATACAAAGAAATGGAAGTGGATGCTATAATCCTTATAATACAAATAAATGAAAGTACGTTGCTGTTTCTTGTATCTCTCTCTCTCTCTCTCTGTATATATATATATATATATATATATATGTATCTCTCTCTCTCTCTCTCTATATATATATATATATATATATATATATATATATAGGATTGATAACTATCTATTGTGTGCATGTAGGATTGATTGTGGACCAATCATTTTAGTTATTTTAAGAAAGTAATTAATGCATATTATATGTTGAAGATATAATGAGTATTAATTAAATCTTTAACATTTAATATGCATTAATTACTTTCTTAAAATAACTAAAATGATTGGTCTGCAATCAATCCTATATATATATATATATATATATATATATATATATATATATATATATATATATATATATAATTGATTTAACTGATGATGTTTTGAATGATTTTGTTTAGATGTTGAATGAGGTGGCAGAGGATGTTAGTGATGTAATGGTATCAGCAGATGGATCCTGGAGTGTTGCCACGAAAACAAAGAGCCAGACCGTTGAAAGCGTCACCCGAAATAATAATCATGTTCCTAATTCTTCTTTGCCTTCACAGGTTGTGTGAATAAAGACTGGACTGAATGACCATTTTAGCCTTGTATGTCACAACTCATGCTCCTTGTTATGTGTGTTGTACAGAGTTTGCATAAAACCGATGTTGGTTCAAGTACAACTGAGCAAGCTCAAAGTACAAGTTCCCCGCGTTCTGTTGCTCTAGCTTTCGGGCACCTAAGGAGAGGAGGAGAGCAACAAGACTACACCCATCTTGATCCATCTCAACCTGATGTTGGTACAACCGAGCAAGCTCAAAGTACAACCATGTCTACACCACCACCTGTTCGATCTCAACCTCAACAGGCTCCGCCACCTACTGGAGATGTGATGCTGGTTGGGAGAATGAGGGGGAGTTTGAGAGGTGACCAGCTGGCGGCGGCTAGAGACAGATTGCTTGCACCACCACGACAACCGCTTCTGTGGTCAAGACCAACATCAACTCTTCCTATTGCATTACTAATGCAATCAACCACTACCAATTCTAGTCATAACACTCTAAATCTCCCAAACTAGAAATGTCTTTTTTTTTTTTTTACTTCAACTTCAATAAAAAGGAGCTCTCTTTTGGCGACTTCTTTTATAAATGCTTTTAAGACCAAATATCCCATCATTAACTTCAAGTAAGATATAAATTGATGAGGTAACTTACCCGCAAGTCAATCAATCCACTTTTTAAAATTAGGCACAGGTGATGATTTGCACTCAATATTGATTACATGTTAATTATTAAAAAAAAAAACTAATACTGTTTTGTAAACTTAACGAGAGAACTAGAAGCCTTTTTAATAGAAAGCCACCAATATGCAGACAGATTGACTTGAATATAACAGATAATCTTAGAAAACGGATACAGTGGCTATATTTCAACATTCTTTCGCATCAAAACAAAAACCCGGGTTTTGGATCCTCTAATGCCGTACATAATTCATGCAGTTTCAAAAATACAAACCTACAACTAAAAACACATGCATATGAATTGATTCTGAGCATGAATTTCAACCAAATTATTGCACTGTTTAAAAATCTTTGACTTGGAACAATCTGGACCCTTGGATTCAGCTAGCTGATGATCATTCTCGTCAGGTATTCGCTATGCTCAGGAAAGTACTCCAACAACTCGTCCTTTGTTACCCACACAAAATCCTTGCTTTTGATATCCAACTTATTTGTTGCAATCACTTGAGATTTAAAGAAAAACCTCTGAAAAAAAAAACAAACAAATAAAATCCATAAGAGTCAAGAACACACTAAAAAGCCAACAAACAAAACCATAACTCACATACCTTAAAAGATGAATTATCCTTATTTTTCTCAGATGGTGGCATTGCAATATGACCCATTGGAGCATTTCCAACAAAGTATGTATGAGATAAGTCTCCAATAACAGATTCTAGTGCAGATTCTGCACACTGAAACAACATTTTTTTTTAATCAATACCACAAAATCGTTTCAAATATGCAAAGAAATTCACAGAATTACCTTACGTAAGGTCTCTTCAGACTTGTAAACTTTTTCAGGAAAGTGCCATACAGGCTGCCCTTTTGGACTACCATATGCATCACCATAAAGAAGAAGATATAGCCTTCTATCAAGAGCTCTTTGCAGTGACCTTCATAATAGTTGCACAAAATCCATAATTTAAGTTTAAGTATCAAAGAAAAAGAAGCAACTATAAGAAGCAATTACATTTACATGTACCTTTTATCATTGGTTTTGTCAGCTTCTGTGATCCTAGGAGCTGGTACGAAATCAATGTGGTATTCACCCTTACCCCTAATAACAAGTTAAAATGTTATGATATTGGAATTTAAAGTAATAAAGAAATGTAAACTAGTGTGCAAAATTACCTAGCATCAGATTTTTTAAGAAATTCTTCAGGGTATGCACGACGAAACTGCTGTCTCCAACGAAAGCTACATAATTTTGATGATGATATAAAAATTACTTGCAGATGAAAATGAAATGGAAATGAACAGCACAATCACAACGTTCTTTGTTAATTAAGCATACTAGTTTTCGATTCAAATCTGCATCGATTCTAACAAACTGAAGTAGTTTTCAATTGGTCCTCTGATTCTTACCGATTCTGCAAGTTAACAACTAATCTACTTTTTGAATCCTGAAATGCAGAAGGGAATCCTAATTTCTTAACTCAGGTGGTGACTTTTCTGAAAACAATGTGCATACAAATACATATGAATTTAAGGATAGGGATAACTAACGAGAATTCTTGAAAACCGTAGACGACGGGGTCGATTTTAGGAATAACAACCGGAAGCCTCTCAAACAGAACGGACGCTACGATCTTATCATTTTCAGATCCTTTTGATGATGTGCAATAACCTCGATTTGAAGCCAGAAATCGAGATAAGATTCTAGAGGATCTCTGCATACTTTCCTCTATGGAAGCCTCCAATTATCAACGCTTTTTCATACAAACTGGTTGAAAGATTATCGGAGATCGATTCAGTGTGTGGGGGTGAATCGGAGATTTTGCCTGAGAAGATGAAGACAAGGGTTTTAGAATTCGGGCTTTGTATCTGGGCCTATTCCAGCCTATTACTGAAAGCATTTTTGGGCCTTATAAAGTCGCTTCAATAGTAGCTGGAACACCGCTCCATTCCCTGTGGGTTTCTCTTCCTCTGATTCTTGATTTTGAAATGTATTAAGCTCCGAGTAGTAAAAAAAAATTAGGATCCTGTATTTTCATAGCAAAATAAAAATTAGGATAGGATCTCCACCCCTCAAAATGTAAAAAAAAAAGTATTTAAATTTTAAAATATAACATCCCAAATTTAATATATGGTACCAAAATTCGTCATCATATCAGGGATGTTTTAAAGGACATGGAATCTTGTTCAGGTTTAAACAAATGTATTAGAATGGAACCTTCAAATAACTGGCAAAAACATTTCAAAGTTTAAGTATATACATACTAAAAAACAATTATTTTTTTAACAAACTTAAAGGTTTTTATGTCATTATCTCTATGTCAATTGTGATCAAAATATTATATTCTACGATAAAATAGTGCTACAATGAAAACCTAGTGTTTAATGTGTGAAATTACACCGGATGTCCACCGACAATTATAGGATTCAAACTCATAGATGTCCAACTTTGATGAATGACAAGTTAAACGGACAAATTTGTTTTTATGATGTCGGTTTGTCGATAACATCATATAAGATAAAAAGATTATTAACCAAAGAGAAGATGACAGTAAAAAGCGTAGGACGGACCTAAGCCACCCCCACAAAATTAATAACCACTTCTAAAAAATTTATGCATTTTCCTAGTAAGTTTGCAAATTGTCCAATCAAAAATATTAGAAATAGAAATAAAATATTTAAACTTAAAGTTTAGAGTTTTGAACTTTTTATAAACCCCACCAAACCTATACGATTTCATTCACAATAATCTGCATAAATTCCTTTGCATCTTTTTGTTTATATACTAACAATGTGTACACTCATATACCACATGCAATGTGCGAGATGATTTTTTTTTCCTTTTTTGTCTTCATGCCCTTTTGTTTAAATATGCTAAAAGATTGTAGATAGATAATATATTAACTTTTTTCAGTAAAAACAGAATGTTAAAATACTAAAATTTGCATCAAATAAATAATTTGGTCAAAAATTGGCTTCGGAAAATATGGAACCATTGAAAAGGAATTGCCCCCATCAAAAACAATTCCTGGGTCCGCCCCTAAGAGAGCGATACAGGTTTGCGGCAGCGGACACAATGCAATGGTAACAAATAATCATGTGATTTTTGTTAGGGATGGAAACGGGGTAAGATTGACCATCCATGTCTCCGTCCCCGAGTCCCTAACATCGACCCCATCCCCGATGGATGTGGGGAATCAAATCTCCTCCCCTTTAGATTTTAGGTTTATCCCTGACTCATCCCCGACCCATCAACTTAATAAATTCAACTTACGCAAAAAATAATTTGAAGTTTAATAAGTTCTCAAAAGGGTTAATGCCATAAAAACCTTCAAGTTTGCACAAAATTGTCGGGTTTACCCAAAGTCAAATTTGTGTTCGTTTTTGCCTCAAACTTGCATTAAATGTTGCGTTTTTACCTATTTAACTGGTTTCCTTTTAATGAGTCGGTTACCACTTGCTTAGCTGGAAGCTCATGAACGTCGTTTGGGAGAAAACCCAACTCCGTTAGGGACGTTAAATTGTTACATCCTCATCATCCCTCTATATCGCAATCACTTTTCACCTTTTTGCATAGTGTCGATTGAAATTATGTATACACAGAGAAAAGCTTTAGAAAAGAGGGTTTTCTTGGAGAAGATTAGGATAAAATTGTTGTATTAATACAGGAGGGTGTAATGGTTTCATCAGACGAAGGGTAAGCTGACCCCTTTGATGGCATACATGAGCCATTTCATGGCTTGAATGAAATGGATTTTGAGCTCCATGACATTTACATGGACCACGAACCAAAGGAAGAATGTGTGACCTCACTTGATAAATGTAAGGATATCTTCCTAAATGTTCTATTAAGCGATGAAAACCTATGAAATTCTAGTATGGCAGATGAAATCAGAACACAACTGTACCATGCTACTGATTGGCAAAGAAAATTATTGTGGATGCTAGGAAAAACCATTGTGGATGCTAGGAAAAACATTGATGACAATGCTTGAAGAAATAAGGATATACATCATGGATAGGTTTGCTCACATGATTGAGGAAAGCACTAAATGGAATACTCGTATATGTCCAACAGTGCTAGAAAAGATGAAGCCTTTTTGGAAGAACATGAGGTAACATTCTAACATGTAACTTTTGTTTCAATTTCATGAGGTAACACTTTAACATACTAACACTGAACTTGTGGATGTAGGTTCTAGTATATAATACATAGTCAACAACATGTGTTTGAAGCAAGGAGAGGATGTGATAGCTACTTGGTGGATTTGGATGGAAGGCATTGTACCCGCAGGTTATGGGATCTAGTTGGGATACCATGTGTTCATGTCATTGCAGCCATCAACTATATACAACAAACACCTTATGAGTATATTTTTGATATGTTTTCCAATGATAAATTCCTTAAGTGTTACTCTGCTAACATTAGTCTAGTGAATGGTTCAAATCTATGACCTCAAACTGACTTCATAAAGCCCCTACCACTAGTGTTAAGGAGAATGCATGGTAGGCCAAAGGTCAATAGAAGGATAGATAATTGAAAATGAAGGAAAATTTGGTATAGGAAGAGTACAAACCACAAGAACTGTAAGGTGTCGTAAGTGCTTTGAGTATGGATATAACCAGAAGGGATGCAAGAATGCAACCATGGAACCAGTTCCTATGCCACCAAAGAAGAAAGGAAGGTCAAGGAAGGAACAATGTGAACCCACTCAAGCATCAGGTGATATGCCTGAGAGGCAGGAACCAATTCTAAAGCCACCAAAGAAGAGATGAAGGCCAAGTAAGGTGCAATGTGACCCAAATCAAGCTTCATTTTCTAAATATGTTAAAAGTAAAAAGAAGTTGGGTATTAAAAGAGGTTGTGGTATTATAGCAGGTAGATTTCTAGTTGATGAGTATGTTGGTATAGAAGTTCATGTTGAAGGTGGGGGCTTTGAGGAGTAAATGAAAGATTTTATTGACAATGAAGATATTGACGATGACAATTTGCTTGACATGATGTGCACTTATGAAGTTGTTATTAGCCAACCAAAGGATAATTATGAGTGGATGCTATTCTCCAAGGTACTAATGAAAAAAGTTAATATGAGAATGAGGGTAATCATGAACCTGAATTCACTGAGGGTGATGCAAGTGATGTTCTACCAGAGATGGTGAAGTTGAATCTAGAAAGTGCAGCAGACCTACTTGAGGCAGGATATAACATGTCAGAATTAGAGAGCATGAGAGGGGTACAACTTGAAGTGAATGATATGCCACCGGTTGAGATGGTTAGTTTCACTGCATCATTTTTTATATGTTGATGGTATAAAACTATTTATATCCTTTATTAATAAGTATTTTTCTAATTTTGATTAACAAGATGTAAATGAAGCTGAGGATATTCCGTATGTTGTTGGTGTGATGGAGGGAAATGAGGGTGATGGAGCTGTTGATGGAGTTGGGGAGGATGATGGTGAGGGTGATGGAGTTGTTGATGGAGCTGGTGAGGGTGATGGTCAAGATGACGGTGAGGGTGATGGTGAAGATGATAATGAGGGTGATTGTGAGGATAATGAAGCACATATGGAGGGAAATGATGCTGATGATGAAGGGTATGTAAAACTCATAAGGACAAGAAAGCCCTCAGAAAGGATCATCCTGTAAAAGCTGGAGAAGCCTTGTTTTGACAAAGATGGAAAGGGTTCCACATCTAGCTATCCAGTAGATTTGGAGTAGTTATATTGGTATATGGGGGCAAAAGTGGGGATGGTATTGTTGGGAAATTGTATAGGTAGCCCTTTTTAGTACATGTTTTGGTATACACCCACTACTTGCAGCATGTATCCATTTGTTTAGTGTTACATTATGGCTTGCCTTTTTTTGGATATTTTTCAGGCTTTTGGGTACATGTTTTGGTATACAAAATGGATGGTTGCTACATGGTATTAAAACTTATGTAATGGAGGATTTAATTAAGGTTAATAATGGATGTCCCAATTATGGTAACCATGTTGTTTTTTTATTTTCTTATGGATGTTAAGGCTTTTTGGTAGGCATGTTGTTGTTATAATTGATTACCATTAATGTGACCAATTTACCCTTACATTTCATTACTATATAAGCATTAACAATATACTTTCATTGTCAATGTAACCATTGTACTTTACCCTTAATATCATACCATTAACAAATAAATAACATTATCAAGAGATCAAGTGCAACATATACATGAAATAGCAATTAATTACCATTAATATTGTTGGGTTTTTTTGTTCAAAAATAGTTTCAAAAACTAGAAAAATATAGCAACGGAAGACTTTAATTTTTGAAGTAACATAAACATTTTATGCCCACCAAGGATCTTCTTGCAAGTTATAGAAAGATTAAACACCAGCCAAAGGAAAGATGAAGAAATAAGAACCTTTGTAGTTATTTGGGTCCTCTTGGGAGGCTTGGAAGTTGATGAAGAATGTGGAACCTTTGAGACACCAACAATGACTCAACTTGATGTAGATGCTAGTCTAAAACTCTTAAACTCTTAAGCTTGAAGTTCATAACCAATATGAACTTCAAGAAAGCAAAAGATATGCAAGTAATCTTCAATAACTCAAAGCAAAGAAGAGATGGAGAGTCTCCCATGGAGCTCTCGGCCATTAGAAGAAAGAATGAGGCAAGAACTTCAGGAGTGGAAGCCTCATATTTATAGTGTCTAAAAGTGAAGTTATTAACCATTAGTTTCTTCAACTTTAGACAAACTTGTCTCCATGTCATAAGTGTGTTTCCCATGCCTTTAAAGCATGATTAAACAAGTCATACACTTTATTATATATATATATATATATATATATATATATATATATATATATATAATTTTTTCAAAAATTATATATATATATATATATATATATATATATATATATATATAAAGTCAACCTTTTATAAAAAAACTCACAAGCCTTTTATAAAATATAAAGTTTGTCTTTTAGGAAAAAGACAAAAGGATTCAACTAGTCCAAAAGTTTGTACTTGACTTATAAATCATATCATATGATATATATTAAGTTACTTGCTAATGAAAATTATTATTTCCATGAAATAAATAATTTCCAATTTAATTATAATAGTTTTATTGAATATTTATTAAAATTAATTTCTAATAAATAATCAATTGTATCAAGTTGTTGTTAGTGTGACCCATTAGTATCATATGTTATTTAGCAATATCACTTTAATATGACTCTTGAGCATACTAGATCTTTCAATCTCCCACTTGCGCAAGACTCATATTAGATTGATATAGACAGTGGTGAACGTCTAGCAACCTTTCACTGCCCCTAATACCATACGACTGTTTGTGCCATTCTATCAACGCCCAATTCCCAAAAAGCTCAAAGCTACAATTAGTGTATAGTGTAAGTTTATCAGTTATCCCTTTGCTACACACATCATGTTGAACATGAGATTCGGATCTCGATCAATCTCATTAGTCGTTCAACTTTTGGTAAGTCACCTTAGATGTCTTACTCTCAACACATAAGAGGAACAAATCCCATCTTGACTACATAAGAGCATAGTTCACACCATACCTGAAAAATGGCTTTTATAACTACCCGGTTAAGGAACAGCATTTGACCATTATCAAAGCATAATACTCCCTACACTTAAGTCCCACTATGTATCTCAGGTGTTAAAGATACAAATATAGTAACTTTTAATCAAGTATCATTCACGATAGCGATTCATGAGATGATCTTGATACGAGCCAGTTCAATACTAGTTCTCTGACAAGTACCTATGAAACTTGGTTACAACCGTTGCCTACTTTCATCTAGTGAGAGTCAACCAACCCAATTCATATTAGTCTTACTTTATAATTGCTCCCACAATTATAACCGACTATGAACTTTTAGAATAATAACATTATTCATGGATTAAACATGTTAATATAGAACACAACAAGTATTAATGTGATGACTATATCCCAATATATCATAACATTATCTAATAGTTGTTGTTATAATGTTCCAATATCCAAATACTAAATCTAAATCAAAACTCCATTTCTAGAATAATAAAGTCTTATAGCTGAAGTGTGACCATTCATACTTAGCTCAAAAGAATGACTTTATTAATGGATCTGTCAAAATTTAATTTGTGTGAATTCTGTGAATACTATCATCTCCATACTTAACTTTACTCTTGGTATAGTTAAATATCTTGGAGAATATGATTGGTGTTCTTTCATAACATAGAGTCTCTTAGCTTCATTAAGTATACTCTCGAAGTCACAAAGATTTCTATGTGGTCCTCGAATGGCAGAAATCAACATAGTTTTTCAATGATCTCATTCATCCAATCATATTTGAATTCAACTTCAAAAGTAGTGTATTATTATTTTGTAGTAGATTGTGTCATTATGTTTTTCTTGGACCTCATTCCAACAAGACTTACTCTTCATTCCATCAAGATGTCAAAATCCAATTATAATTCATAATTATTTATATCTGTTTAGAAATTAGCATCTTATGTAGATCTTTCCAAAAAGATCCTTTCTAAATTGATTGTATCATATACATTCTCTTAGTTCTTCTAAAGTACTATTAGAATGCTCTTTTAGTCATCCAGTAACTTAACCATGTATTCATTTAGTATCCTATGACATGCTTACAACATGATCAAATACCATGTCCTTTGCATAATATGGCATAAATGATGAATTCATTTGCCAAGCAAATAGAATATAAATCATTTCATCTAGTTCAAGCCTATGAGCTATGTACTTTTGAGGCTAGGTCAAAATGATGCCATATAACAATGCTAAGAATTCTCCAAAAGAATCTTGTGTCTTGTTCCCTTTCAAGATATTGCCAATATATGTATAAGGACATGAAACTTTTAACATTCGTTTTATCTATCCCTTATAGATTTTACATTCCAAGAATGTATCATCTTCTTCCTAAGTCTTTCATTTTAGAAACACTTTCCGAGTTAAGGTGTAAACGACCTTGCTTAGTCAGAATGTGATTTCAAATGATTAAGTATGTCTCACTCATACAAGATTAGGATCTTCACTATGCTCCCACTAGTTCTTAGTAAACACACATGTTCTATTCATTTTGATATAAAAACACACCTTGTGGTTTTACATAAAATGATGATTTTAACATTTAGATGTTTGCTTTATATCCACAATTGGATCTCAAGCTCTACACATTTTGTTATGATAACTTGGATTAAGAAAACCTCTAGGCTAATCTATATAGATATCTTCTAGTAGATGTCTATTAAGAAAAGCGGTCTTTCTTGAAATCTATTTGCTATATCTCATATTAAGAATATGAATTTATAGCAAACAATATCCTTATTGATCTAGTCATAGCTAATTGTGGAAAAGGTTTGATCACAGTCAATGTCATGAGTATGATGAGGACCATAGTCAATGACATGAGTATGAGAAAATCCTTTTATAACAAGTCTTGCTTTAAATGTTTATGGTTATCCATGTAATTTATTCTTTCTAGAAGAATCATTTAGTCCTTCTAGCCTTTCTATAGAGACAAATTTTAATCAAGCCCATACTTGATTCTTATACATGGATTACATCTCATGTTCATGACTCTAAGTCATTTATCAGATTCAAAATCTGACATAGCATCTTGGTATTTGATGGATTTTCCAGAAACCATCAATAAAATATCATCAATGAGAGATTCCATATTTCTCAAGTCATAGATGAATTCTACCATTAAAACGAACAATTTGTGTTTGTGAATAGCTATTATTCAATTTTA